AACCTTATTAGTCGAAATCCCGACCAAAAATAACCTTCCTAGATCGCGTTACGGACCAAAAAAATCTGATTGGTTGAATTGCCTTCCCCCTCCCCCCTGAAATCCTATTGGTTGAAACCGCAATGTCAGAAAACCTTATTAGTCGAAATCCCGACCAAAAATAACCTCTGATTATCCTTCGGTGAACCCTTATGTTCTTTTGACCCTGCGGACAGACAAGCAAGCAATCAATCAGACAATTTATGTTTACTGGACTCTTCTCTACGAGAAAGAGAATAAGAAATCATATTCGAATAATTCAGCTCGCTTCTCGACACTTATCTATAGAAACAGTAGTGAGATCATACTAACATCTTCTCATCGAACAGGACTTATTGGTGACACAATGTATCATTGATGTTCACACTTTCCCAATCATCATTATCACTCTTTATATGAAAGATATATCAAGCTGTTTGTTTCCTTTTATTTTGATTTTTTCACTGATTGATTGTTTATACATTGAACGTTATCCTTCTTTTCCATCATTCCTCTTTCCATTCTTTCTTAACATGTACGTGCTCGGCTAATTAATTATCGTAGGTCAATTTTCCTGATGTTCAAATTCCGCCTATCGCGTTTTTTCTTCCTCTTTCTTTTTCTTCTTCGTTTGCTTCTTTCCTTTTCTCGCTCTCTTCTCTCTCTTCTTCTTCTCTCTTTCTCTAGCCGTCTCTTGCGCTGTACATATAGAAAAAAAAGATTGTCACTGTATGAGAGTCACTTGAATAATAAGCATATAAAATGAATTAATTAGATTTACCTTGTGATGTTGATTGAAGATTTTGTTTCGCACGCATTTCATTCAATTCAGATTGTAAAAATCGTTCAGTTTGAATTAGATAAAGACCTCGAAATTTATGTGTTGTGTAATGGTCATCCCAATTCATAAGATAAGAAGCAACTTGCACACCGGATAATTCTTGTTGTGAAGCAAGTGCATTATAACAACGTAAAACGAGTTTACGTGATTTTTCAATTACATTTTCCTTGTCTACTTGATTGTTTGGATTTTGTAATGATGTAATACTTTTTTGGACAAGAGAAAATGTATCATGAAAAGATAGATTCATCTTTGTGACATAATCGGTAATATAGTAAACTAAAGCTTTGGCATCATTTCCGGTCCAAATAAATTTAATATCCATATTGGATCGGCAAGCTGAGATAATATATTCGTTGAAATTATTCATCCATGGATCTGATCGTTTCATACAAATACGACCAGTTTCTGGATCGATTGTTGATACTGGTACCCGTTTTCGTGGCATAATCGATCGACAAATCTTTTTGCCACCATTGCAGTATTTAAAACATGTATCACAGTGTCTATGAGTATTGCTAGATTCAGCAACTTGTGCTACATGTGCACGAAATTTTGATTTAAAATTAGGCGACGATGGATTTGGAGTGGGTAAACAGGCTGGAGGTAATTTTGATTGATTAGATGACACATTCATATCTGAAAATACTAATAAATATTTTATTTTTATAAAATATTATTGTAACATACCAAATGCAGATCGATCATGTGTTGGTGTTTGTGCCACTGGACTTGATACTGGAGATCTATATGGAATTGATGGTGATCGAGATGGAATCGATTGAGAAGGTAAATGCTGCTTGGTTGGTGTTGAAAAAAGAGGCGACTGATGTGTATTTTCTACAGTGCCTGTCAAATCAATAGTACGTAAAGCAGTATAAATATTGTTTTGTGATGATTGTGGTTCTATTAGAAATAAAAAAGATGAACGATTGAATAAAATAAATATATTTCATACCGTCAGAAGATTCGATGACTTGTTTCTCTTTGAAATCATCTAAATCTTCTTTGATGATATCTTCTAAATATGCTATTAACTTGTTACGAAAAGTAGCATCTTGAATTTTTTCTTTCATATCAGTTGGTTTCATATCATGATCAAGCCAAATAAGAAGATGTAAATGAAGTGAACCTCGGCCTTGACTTTCGACCGTACCAAAATAAGTCTTTATTGGTCCGAGAACTCCACCCATTATCATAGTTTCCAAGATATTGCTGATCAATACATGGAAAAATTTGGCAGTAGCAACTGGATGAGATGCTATAATTTCGGCTCTTCGATAAGTATCCATAAGTTGTTCATTTTGAATTTTATCAAGATTGAGTTGAACACCAGCAAAATATAATGCTACAGGACTATGGATGTCAGCTGGATTTATTGTAAGAAATATACTCGGTAAACCTTGGTTAAAAATAAGTGCATGTATACGAGTACGTAAAGCTGTTCTTGAATATGCTGATCCCATAACTCGACCACCGACAGTTTTTATATGTTGTAAAAGTTTATTTAATGCACTATTTGTTTCTGTATTGTATGTTCTTTTGGTATTGTTGTCAAGAGCCGCTTCAATATCTTTGCTTTTGATTGATTGAATTTCATTAGCTGATGCTTGAAAATATGGTTTTGTTGCGATTAATTGAGCATGAAAACAAGCATCACGTCGTTGTAATAAGTTGAATACTACAAATATGAAACTAGGGATGCAACGGTGACGGTGGTCACCGGTGTGATCGGTCAACGGTTCACCGTTCACCGGTCTCACCGGTCCGCCGGTTCACCGTAGCACCGGTGCCACCGGTCCACCGGTGCCACCGGTCCACCGGTCACCGTACCAACCGGTGTCACCGGTCCACCGGTTCACCGTAGTAGCGGTGCACCGTTCACCGTTCCACCGGTACACGGGCACCGTAAGCACCGGTCACAATGTACTACAAATAAAGCTACTCAGGTTGATATTAGGGATGCAACGGTGACGGTGGCCACTGGTGTCACTAGTCACCGGTCTACCGGTGTCATCGGTTCAAACGTACTACGGTAGCTGTTACTAGAGATATACTAGCTCTAATTTTGACTTCCTTGTAATTGGAATTCGTTGAAGGCGCGAAGATGCCGTGACATAAACCGTCACTTCATGAGGTACTAGGTGACGGAAATTACTTGGAATTGATTCTCTCGTTAAGACAAGGGTTTTTAAAGGAAATAGCGATTTTCTATAAAGTTTGACCAAATGTTCTCCGGGTCGAGAAATCTGAATCTGCAATCAGTTTCTAAAAATTTTGAACTTGATTTTTTTATCAAATAAAGGGTTTTTAAAGAAAACAACGATTTTTTA